GGTCCTGTGGTCACAAAGCTCATTCTAGTCTATGTGCCAGGAGTCACCCAGCATGACTGGCTTTTCCTGTGCTCAGACAACCATGAATGCCTGGAGCCACATTAGAGCTTTGGATCCCACATCCTCCCTCCCCAATATTTACTGACATTGTCTGCTTCGCACAGCTGCTTCAGCGCCGTCTACTGAATTTTATGAGCCAGGTCATGTTTCAGTAAGTTTCTCAAGCACCAAAGAAGGTATTCAGAAGGGTCATTGGCATTGGGACCTGTGTTTGCTGTCAAGGGTCTTAAGTACCATGTGCTTCAAGATGCGCGCAGAATACAGAGTGCAGTTACTGCTTCTTTACTGCTTGGACTTATTTCAGGGCCTCAATATGCTTTCTCACCCATGGCTGGATTCAAGTGCTTCAGCTTACCCTGCCTCACACTGTGGGGAACCAGAGCTCTTGCTGCCTCTGCTCTGAGAACTTGGTGCTTGCTTGTGAATTGAAGGAATCTGCCGTTCAGCAACGATAAAGCATGGCTGTCTAAGTGTTCTGTTTGCTTTCAAAGTACCTTAGTGTAAGGAAAAGACGTCTGGTAGAGTTCGGGGGACTAGAGATGCTCCAGACCTTTCTGGTTCCTCATGACCAAATTTAGCATATGCCTGAGACACTGTGTTTCGAGAGCCTTTGCACTGCATTCCCAGCAGCTTCCTCTGACTTCCTCAGAATTGCCCACCTCTATGTGACTTCAAGGCTTTTGTCTTCTGGGCTGGAAGATAACTGTTCTCTCCTCCATGTGATAAACGTCTGTGGTTCTGTAGAAACTTAGGAGCCAGCAGAATCTTTAGGGGGTCCAAAGGGACCAAGAGCTGGCATTCTTAACAAGCTTTCTGTGGAAACAGAAGCCACAGTCCCTTAAGAAACCCTCCTCCAGTTCCTAGTTCAGAGTCCCATGTTTAGTATGCTTCTTACATCAACTACCTTTCACAACTTCATGTTTTCTTTTCTTTATGCCCTTTTCTGGTTCCTATTACTCTTATGTATGTTTTATATTTTGTGAGTGGGTTATAGGACCATCTACTGTTTGGACACACCCTATAAAATTTTTGTATTAGTTCTTTGAGGATATCCAACAATGTGTTTTGACCATATTCACCTCGCTTTTCTCCTCACCCAACTTTGTATTCTTTCTTTTTTTCCCCCCATCAAGGCCAATTTGGGCTGCTCAGATATTCTGGCCTTCCACCAGAGCCTGGTCAACCTATTAAGGGCCACCTATCAAGGGCTATTTTTAGAGAAAACTGACCCACCATCTCCCAGCAGCTAAGAATTGCCAATTACTCCTTATCTAAAGGTGGATCTTTATGCCTAATTCCCCCCTCCATGCTGGTATTTGGTCTAGTTTAGGCTTGCACATGTCTTATGCATGCTGTCACAACCAGGGTGAGTTTATAGGTAGAGCTTGGGCTGGACCTGTCATAGTGCGGTACATAGGGCTGCATTGTCTGTGTTTTAGGGACAGGCAAATTGGCCATTAGCAGAGTGGCTAAATAGATCAGATTGAGCTATTATGGCATATTATAAATAAAACTCAAGAATTTGAGCCAAATTGTAATCTTAAAATGTTGGTCATAGTGGTCATTAGTTTCACAGAAAAGGCCTTCTGGAATAGTTAAATTTCACATGAACAACAACAAAGACATATACAGTCTTAATAGTGGAAAAAAATACTATCTCTGAAGGGTAGTGCCTGTCTCTTGGCGTTTATTCTGGAAATAGAATTGTGTCAGGTCATTGAAATCTTTATGTGAGGGTGTTGAAAAAAAATCATATAAGATAAATGAACCAGTTTTGAAATATTCAGCCCAGTGGCATGTAACATATTGGCAGTGCTGTGCAAACTTCACTGTTTCAAAGTCATTTCAGACTATTTTCTTCACTTCCGATGGAAGCATTGCCTGAGGCACTGTGCTCTTATCCAGTATTCCTAAGCATTTTGCTCACAGCACCTAAATGTCTTGGTTTATTTAAATGGCATTTACTGATACTTACATGGTTAGAAGTGAAGACTGAAAAAACCCTTTAAAGATTTAATTTATACATTCATCATCATTATTTGTTTAAGAAAAAATCCTTAATATCTGACTTAGCAGAAGACAACTGGATAAACGGTCTTTTGAACCCACTCAGTCTATAGTGGCCTACCCACCAGCCTCCTTACCAGTTCTTCCATTTCCAGTGGTCAGTTAACCAGGGTCTGAGAGTATGCAGTGAGAAGCCTGAGGGTTGCACTAATCATGGTCTTTAAGTTGCATACCACACTAAGTAGCATGGTAAAATCAAGGCTGAATAAAATCAATACTTTGCTGGTTTATTACAGGACTTCCTAAGTAAAACTAGCCTTCTTATATTTTAGTTTTAAAGCTTTGAGTGTGTGACTGAAGAATCCATTGCCTCTTGGTAGAGTTGATGATTCTGAGGCACCATCATTTAGCTGTTGTTTTTATAACTTGATAAACCCCTGCAAAAGTCTTATCCATCTCTCAGGAGTCCATGGACCAGTACTTTGAGAACTGCTATCCTAGGTAGTAAGTAAGTAAAGAAGGAAACCACAAACAGCTTTACAGGGTGCTCATTCCAGCTACCTCATAAAGAATGCCTGGCAAGCCAGAAGACAGTTCCCTGTTGGCATATTACAGCACATTTAATTGATTCTACAGAAATACTCATGTCCACTCATGAGAATTTGAGAGATAGTGGAACTAACTTCAAAGTAACTCCTTTGTCATCTACCCAGAAATCTGACATTTGTGATTCCAGTCCCTTTAATATGTTTGATTTGATTGAACATTCCATTAGAATGTATTTTCAATAAATTGTAACTTATTAAGATTAAAAAAAAAAAAAAAACCAAAAAACAGATCTGTGCTTCCAGAGTGCAGCTATTGGTGCTTTGCAGGAGGCAAGTGAGGCCTACCTGGTTGGCCTTTTTGAAGATATCAACCTGTGTGCTATCCATGCCAAACGTGTAACAATTATGCCAAAAGGCCACATTATGCTAGAACGCTGCATACGTGGAGAATGTGCTTAAGAGTCTACTATGAGGGGAAACATTTCATTCTCAAATTTTTTTTCCTCTTCTTCCTGTTATCAGTAGTTCTGAATGTTAGATATTTTTTCCAAGGGGTCAAAAGGTACCTAAGTATATGATTGCGAGTGGAAAAATAGGGGACAGAAATCAGGTATTGGCAGTTTTTCCATTTTCATTCGTGTGAGAATTTTTAATATAAATGCAAGATATAAAGCATTAATGCAAGCAAAATGTTTCAGTGAACACATTTCAACCGTTCAACTTTATAACAATTATAAATAAACCTGTTAAAATTTTCTGGACAAAAAAAAAAGATTAACAAAGAGATTTTTAATTTTTTTGTATAGAATTCCATGTTTTAAAAACTATAATTCAGCCAGATGTGGCAGTATACACTTGGATACTTGGGTAGTGGAGGCGGGAGAATCAGGAGGTCAAGATTATCCTCAATTATATAAGGAGTTTGAGACTAGCCTATGCTGTATGAGACCCTGTCTCCTAAAACAAATCATGAAACAAGCAAAAGAGTTCAGATTCAGATTTCTATTAGTTTCTTTTACTTTGAGACTATTCCTGCTTAAGACTCTAAACCAAGTAGAGTTCAAAGCTCAGAATCCTCATTTTGGAGCCCTTTTAATTCTCCTGTTTCTAGAACTGTGCTAGATGCTTTTTGTCATAATCTATAGTGTCAGGAATTAGTACATGCATTTTTTTCTCTTTGTCCTGGGTAGAATAACTGATGTGTTTTCTTAAATGTTCATTCCTTTCAAACATAAAGTTTCTAATCTGTCATTTTAACTGTACCAATAGATAATTTTGGAACTGCTAATATTTTACAATTATTTTGCTTTAAGATAAGTATTTTATTTATTCTTTGAAAATTCCATGCATGTGTACAATGTATCTTGGCCATATATACCCTTTGCTCTCACCTCCAACTTTCCCAGGATACCCCATTCATTATATCTCCTTCATAACTTCCTGTCCTTTTATAATTATTTGTAGTCGTGAAGTTTCTCAGTTTCCACCCAGCCCTGCGATCCCTCCGCAGCTTATAAAATAATCATTCAGAGGCTTAATATTATTTACAAACTGTATGGCCCATGGCAGGCTTCTTGCTAGCTAGCTCTTACAGTGTAACTCAACCCATAACTATTAATCTATAACCATGTGTTCCATGGCTTTACCTGCATCTCACTACATGTTGCTCTTAGGATGGCAGTCTGGCATCTCCTCCCTCTGCCTTTCTCTTTCCTGTCTCTTCTTGGATTTCCTGCCCACTTCTAAGCTGCCTTGCCATAGGCCAAAGCAGCTTATTTGTTAACCAATGGGAACAACATATATTCACAGCATACAGAAAGACATCCCACAGCAATTATTTATTTTTAACTGACTGAGTTCAGTTAGCACTATCTATATGTGCATGGATGTGGGGTCACCCATGGGGGTAGGAAGAACCTAACAGGGGCCACCCTCCTAAAGAAGAGTGGCCCTCTCACCCCAGCAGGATCAGCTTTCCAAAGCTCCTCTCTCTGTACTGTTTTGTTCTGATGAGTTCAAACTTGGCTTAAAACCAAAACATACCTACAGTTGATAGGGAAGTTTAATTGACTGTAAGTTGCCTAGTCTCAAAGGCTAGCATGATTTTACTCTGTATTCTTGGATTATTTTATTTAAAAAGAAACAACAACCCCTTGCAATCTTAGCATCAGCTAGAAGACACGATAGCAAAACAGCAGTGAGGTTCCCAGACCATGCAGTAAATGGAGAGAGACCAGCAGATCCCTAGAGAATGGAAGGAGTCTGAACTGTGATACCTTCCACCTAGTCAAGAAAGCTTACATTCGGGAATCAGAAAACCTAAGGCGGTCTCTGGAAGAGTCTACACAGCAAGAAACCCCCTGCTTTACGCCTCTTGTCCCTTCTTACTGTTCAACCCACTTCAGTGCCAGCAGCCTACAGGCAGAGGCCAGGCAGTGGTTCGGGCCATGGGTTGCTCTAGCAGAGGACACTGTGACAGGCCCAGGACAACAGGCTTGCCATAAATCCAAACCCATGCACTGGTCAAGAAATCTTAACAGGCTTCCCTAACATTTAAAGCACAGACTAAGAAAAATCTTAGCACAAGTATACCATAAGGAATTTATTTTCCTACCTCAGCCAGGGATCACTAAAGAAATTGATAACCACATGCAAACTTGTCCTGGCAGTGATACCCCTTAACTCAGTTGCAGACTAGACACTCAACTTATATCACCTATGATTTTCACAACTACAAAATGACTTTGAAGATAAAGTCAATATTATAAACAAACAAATAATCTATTATCAGCTAGAGCCAGTGGAAGCAGTGTGTGGGAATATTAAGAGCCCCGAACTTCATGTAATGCTTAAAATAACTAAAACTATAAAGAAGAGGTTAAACCAAAAGAACAGGCAGATTTGAAGGAAGTTTGTAATGATCATAGAAATAGAAATGACCATTGAAGTTTAAAAATCTGTTGATGAAATAAAATACCAAACTAGACAAATCTGAGGAAAGACAGGAAGATAGGAGTCAGAAAATTATTACAGTGCAGTACAGAGAAATAATAAAGTGGAAAATGTTTGAAAAGAGGGCTGGGGGCTACGCTTAGTGGTAGAGCACTCGCATAGCATGCGTGAACCCCTGGGCTCCGTTCACGGAACCACAAAATAAAGTTCAGGAGGAGAAGTTCTGAACATGGTCTACTATATAGTTGAGACCACAGACTACGGAAAAATTAGTTGTACTAAGTAGTTTTTCATGCCTGAAGCAGGCTGCTCAAAGAAAAGGGTGTGTATTTAGCTTACAGTTTTGGAGGTTCAAAGGTCAAGATCATTAGCTTGACCTCTGGTGAGGCAGCGGCAGATGACTCATCATGGCAGGATTACAAGTAGCAGCAAATGGTCATAGCTTGAAAAGAGCAGAAACTGGTGCCCCGCAGTCCCATGAGGGCATATCTCCAGTGACTGAAGGACTTTCCACTCCGTCTCACACTAAGGGTTCACAGTACTTCCTGATCCTATATCTTGGACTCCTGGTGGGCACAAATCATTAACAACAGCAGTAGTTTCTTAAGAGAGTGGTTGTGGATTTTCTGTAGTTGAGCGGTATAGTGCATTAGAGACTGTAGTCGTAGACACTTCTAAAAGGAGAAGGGAGGCCCTGACTACACAAATGTACACCCTGAAGAACCTGCATAACACAGAAGACAAAGGGAACGTCCACAAGAATAACTCAACTCCTGGGAGCCAAACCCTTGTGGCCTGCCGTGTATTGGTGAGTAGTGAGTGGGTGTCCTATCGTTTGCCTTGTCCTTGGCACCCTGGTCATGTGAGCATGTTGAGTAATACAAAGCTTTCTTCTCCTGTTTCTTTGTTGTGAAGTGATGTTAGTTGCTGACCTCTCATGTGTAGCCTTTACAGCTGGGTGTATTATCATCTCTCATTTCAGGCTTAATCACACCCAGTGATCTGAGTTTGAGGAGTTAGTTCCCGCCTACCCTCCCCCTCTTCTTTCTTCTTCCTTTCTTTCACTTTTAGGTTTTGGTCATAAAACCAGAATCGTTGTTGTTTGGCCATGCCCTTGGGATTTTTTCTGGCTTTGTAGACAGGAAATGAAATGCCTACAACTCTGGCCTGGACTTGATTTTCCCAAGCTCATTCCCTTTTTGTGACTGGACACTCATGTCCATATCTTTAGGATGTAAACATAGATCTGAAGGAATCCCTCAGTTGGGAACCGTCCCTGGGAGTGAGATGTGTATGACAGGAACCCTCACTTGTGGACTGTGAGCCCAGAGGATGAGGCAGTGGGAATGGGTATAGAAGCCGGGAGGGAGCACAGATTTACAGACGAGGGTGGTACAGAATATTGCCCTGGTCCTCCAGCATCCTCTCTCAGTTTTCACTGCTTCTGTTTGCTGTTTGCTGTTCAGTCCCAGTTGGTCTCTTGATGGAGACTTGTGACTTCATGAGAACATTTCTATCCCTCCTCAGGGAAGGGATTCTGTACCAAGTGTTCCCTGGGTCTTCAGACAGTCTTTCATTTCCATAACAGAGGGTTGATTCCTCAGCCCCATGGTATACAATCATAAAGAGCTGTGAAACATTTAGAGAGAGACTGGATGGAGGGTCATAGGTCACTGAGATGTGCCCTCACAGGGCTGTGGGGCACCACATTTTCACCATTCCTTTTCACCATTACTGGTTGTTCCCCTCTTTCCTTAGCATTTGGTCACACGTTGCTTTGACATCTGTCAGAGGTCATGTTCTTCAAAGAATGGCTTTTATTACATTCACTCATTTTAATTTTTTTCTTTACATTTTCCCAGCCCATAATACACAGCATTGCTTTGAAAGGTTGCTTCCTACACTCTTTTGTCTGAAAACTATATTACTGAAGTTTTTGTCATTGCTTAGTGGAGAAGCCCACATTTCAATTTCTGCTGCATCTTCTACCCAGAATTTTACTTTAAAAAATGGGGAGAGGAGCAGGAGAGGATCTGGCACACAACATAAAAGAATTTTTTTATAGTAGTTTGGAATGATCCCTTCCTGAAGGAGGAACACATCTGTGTCATGGCAACAGGTTCGTGTGTGTGTGTGTGTGTGTGTGTGTGTGTGTGTGTGTGTGTGTGTGTGTGTGTGTTAGTGCTAGTGCTAGTGCTAGAAGGCTAGGGTATGGAAATTGTGGAACTAATGGAGTGGCAGTGACTTCCTGTGCACACTCTCAGAGTGGTCCCTGCCATTTTTCTGATTGAAGCTCTAGGTTATATGTGAATCAGTGGGTGTTAGTGGTTCTGTTTGTGAGATAACAGGGTGAGGGGTGTGATGGACCTGATACCTACTGCATCCCTCTTGGAGAACCCATCCAGGGAGCCTGCTCTGCCCCACCCTGTGGATGAACCTCCATCCCACCAGTCCTCGCCACTGCCTGCCTCTCAGGCTGGGGGCTCCCTCTTGATACTCCAGTCTGCTTCCTTGGCAGTTACAGAAGCATGTGCCTCTCCTAGGAGAGCTTCCAAGAAATGTCATTTCAGTTGCTTACGAAAGTTTACTTTCACCCAAGGACTTCAGAGTTGGTCCCCAAGCATGTAGAAAATGGGTGTTGTATCTGACTCTTCCCCAGGCTGAGTTCTTACCACAGGGCTTTCTTTTTCCTCCCCCAGTTCAGCACGACAATTCCAACAAAGCTGCCGTGACAGAGCTGCCTTTTGCTACCCCCTGACTTTCAGTGGGACCCAGATGGCCGCACAGCTTAGAGTGGCCAGGTTATACACCGCTTGTTTCACGGCCTATCCGGCTGCAGGGAGGCACTCTCACTGCACAGCTTATGGGTACCAACACAGATAGCCTGGTTTCTTGCCTAGCCTCTTGTCTCTGAGGGTCTCTCCTAGTGAACTCACCAATCCTTCATCATCTCCCTTCTCATCACTACCCCATCTTACAGAGCACTTGATAGTTTTCTGAATTCTCACCACCTCCCATCCTCACCTTGACCTTTCAGTGAGCCCACATACCAGGGAAATAGCCCAGGCCTCTGTAGCAACCGCAAATGTGTGTAATACTTCCCAGGTGCTATGGTACTCAGTGGAGCTTGAGGCTCATGTCCCTTCAAGCTCTTTTTGCTAGATCCTAATGACAAACAAAACAGACATGGTTCTTGATATCATGGAGCTTCTAAAACAGTTAACTGAGAAATTGGCAGTATTTCTATTTCTGTCCTAGCCTGCCCCATGTGTGGTTGTGAGTAGACCTCAGAGAATTCTAATGCTGCACACCAAAGCAGGGAGAGTCATCCTTTCCCAGCATCAGATGCAGGGATCTGAAACATCCAGTTTTTAACGTATGTATTAAATTATATTAAGGAGCCTGGCAGTGGCGGCGCACGCCTTTAATCCCAGCGCTCAGGAGGCCGAGCCAGGCAGATCTCTGTGAGTTCGAGGCCAGCTTGGGCTACAGAGAAAGATCCAAGACAGGCACCAAGACTACACAGAGAAACCCTGTCTTGAAAAACCAAAAAAAAAAAAATTATATTAAGGATATGTGTATTTTAAGACTGAAATACTGTAGTAGTTTTATACTGTAACTGCTTGTTTTTCATAATATAGGATAAAATACAGCGTACCCAGTAAATCTTATTATTTATCTCTTACTTTTGGTTACCTTTGCTCATTGTTATATGTGTGCCCTGTAAGAAATACCTTTACTTTAGGGAAAAATCCTGCATCATGGAGCATTTGGAAAGGATTTAGTCATTACTAATCAAATAAATGCATCTTAAAATAAGACAGGCACCAAGTTATCCACTACTTATAACAACTTTGAAAATAATGCTTTATTTTAGTATAAGAAAAAATGAGGGGCTTAGAGAGACAGATACCCTAAGATATTATATGTGGGAGTATAACTAGATATAGGTCTTCTGGGTGACATGTTGGCAGTATATATTAGTAATCTTTATTGCTTTTCCATGGATTTATTCTGGAGAAAAATATGTACAAGTACTTATATACCCGGAGATTTGCTACAGTGTTTTGAGGAATGATTAAGTGTTGGAAACTCTCTGAATAGTTGATACGGGGTTTGACAGCACTCCGTCAGTGACAGCTACTCCATCCGAACTTTGTCCCTGGATACCAGCCTTTCATTAAACAGGGAGACAGCCTGAGCCTGTCTCTTCTCTTCCTTCGAGGTAAGGATCAACTCCAGGAATCTGTTAAAAGTGTTACTCCTTTTGTTTGCTTCATTTTCTACCCTTGTTTAATGATTACTTAGCTTTTAACATAGCCCAAGTGAATATGGTTTCATATAATAGATTTCTAGTGTCACTTTCTTCCCATATAGAAGTGGATGAAGGTCCTTTCTCTGTGCAAGACTGAGCAGTGGGATCTGTCAGTAACATGTTTTGGGAGGAGCCTCTTCCTAAATGTGTTGAGACCACAGATGTGGGAAATGGGACCTGCTGGAAGCCACAGGCTGTTCTCATCATCATGTGGGAAACCACAGGGGTGACAAGGATCCCAGGCTTCCAGT